GACATGTATGCAATATATTCACAAGGTTAAAAGGTTAGACCTGGAGGTCTCAGTTTGCTGAAGCACATAGGTAGTACAAGTGGGTGGGATCCCCAGAGGTCTAAAACAGAAGGCGTTGGGAAGGAATTAAGGTCGGACTGCGGTGTGGGAGATGGTTGTGGGTGAAGATGAGAAAGAATGGGCAAAAACAAAGCCAGGGTTTATCAGCGTGTCTGAGTGGGCACTGTCGTGACAGCTCTGTGAGGCTGACGGTAGCTGGCAGACAGACCTAATTTACAGAGAGAGGATGAAGACTCTGGGAGACTGATTACGTCACACATCTTCCGTTGCAATCAGAGTGATGGAGCTCAGCCTTGAACTCACATTTCTGTTAGTACCTTTTCACCTATACTGCTCTGCCCTGAGCTAGAGGGTCTCTCAGGATGGTCTTCAGTCTCAGAACCAGCCACGCTCCTCCACCCAGAGGCTGTTCTTGTATCTCCTTCCCTCCTCCTCTCCCCTCCCTCGTCCAGCCTTCCCTCCCTTCCTCCACCCACCTTCTGTACAGTTTTTCCATTTTTACTTCCAAGTTCCAGCAATATCGCCCTAATAATGTCTTTTTCTGAAATGTAGGTTAGTGCTAGAACACTTACACACATAAGGCCTGAGTTCAATACCCAGCACTGAAAAAAAAATTGTGTGTCTGAACAATCCTGGGTCTTTCTACCTAAGCCCCGAAAGGGAGGGCGCGACGGAAGCAGAAGGAGAGCCTGCTGCTGCTGTGGGGTCTTCACCCATTTTCCTCCCCTCAACCTCCTCAGCTCTCCAGATCGCTGCGGGACTCCCCTTCCTTGTCCTTCTTCTGTGTCTGTATTTGATGCCGCTGGGGGTTTATTCTCCCTGCATTCTGAAGAAGGAGAACTTAGGGCCTAAGCCTACATTCTTTGGACACAGAGGCGCACCCATGGTAGGTCTGAGCAGAGTGAGCACGGATGGATGCAGGTGTGGGGGGCATGGGGTGGAGAAGGGAGCCTCGGACGCATCAGAGACCCTGGGGAGAAAGGAGGGTCTTGATGTGACAAGAATGCGGGGTTAATTGTGCCACCTTCCCTTCACCGCGCCCAGTGTGTGACTGGCACAGGGGAGCGGTCAACCTCTTTGAAGAGTCAGCGCCAGGAGCCAGTCTGCTTCTCAGAGCTCCTCCATCCCCAAGCTCTATGTCTGCCATAGAGAAATGTTGGAAGAAAGGCTTTAGGGCACAAGGCCTGATGTTCCTTTCTTCCATAGCTGGCACCAGAGAATACCATGATGTCCTTTGAGAAGGCCGTGGAACATGGCGCCTCCGGCCTGGAGACTGATGTGTACTTAAGGTAGGAAAGTCGGGACTAGGATGGGGGGAAGGGAGGGTTTGTCCAGTGTCACGGGAAGCCTGGCCCAAGGGGTAAAGAGAACAAGCCTTGAAGACTTTCTTCCATGTCTGCCACATATATGAGCCCCATCTCCCTTTGCATCCCTGTTCTTCACCACAGGCTCACAAAGCACACAAGTCACATCTGTCTCCACTGCAAACCGTGCTTGTCGCCTGACCCCGTGCACTAGCTTAGGAACTTGCTTACTAGCGATCCCCAGACGTCTGCCTAGATACCTGGGATACTCTAGGCTACCTTCTGAGTGTTCAGCAGATGCCACCGGGTGAGCTACAGTTGTGCTTCCTTCCCAGCTGGTGTAGGAGATGTGCAGTCACAGGTGACAGAGTAAGACAGGAGTCTCAGTGGAGGGAAAGGACACCTCCTATTCTGTGAAAGACATAACCTGTATGTACTCAACGTTATGTTTGGGCCAACCTTAAAGGAAAATACTTTGCTGACCAGAGATGGGTCCCTCCAGACGAAGGTGTCTGAATGAGCAAACACAAACCACAGAGCTCCCCGAATGTGTCGTGGACAGCAGGATGGGTGTCAGAGGCTGGAGGGCCTGTGGTTTCGTTGTTGTTGATTTGTTTTTTTGTATTTGTTTTCTAATTTTATTATAGTATTGTTTGCTTGCTTGTACATGGGTGCCATGCTGTGTGTATAGAGATCAGAGGATGGAGTTGGTTCTTCCCTTCCATCGTGTGGGTCCCAGAGAGCAAACTCGGGCTGTTGCATTTGGTGACAGGTCCCACTGGCTACTGAGCCAGCGCACCATCTCTGCACTTGGTTATTACTCTGTTTTGTTTGCTTTTGTTTGAGAAGCCAGATCTTGTGTAGCTAGGATGGCTTTGAACTCACTGTGTAGCTGAGGATGATGTAAACTTCTGACCCTTCTGCCCCTACCTCCTTAGTGCTGCGACTACAGGTGTGTATCACTATGTCCAGCTTGGTTTGGAAAAGAAATAATTTATCTAAGTTTATTTTATGTGTGTTCATATGACGGTATCAGGTCCCTTGGAACTGAAGTAACACACAGTTCTGAGCTGCCATGTGGGTGCTGGGAATTGAACTGGGCTTCTCTGGAAGAACAGCCAGTGCTCTTAATTGCTGAGCCATCTCTCCAGCCCCCAGCTTGGTTTATTTTTCTTTTTATAATGATGGGGATCAAACTCAGGGCCTCATGCATGCCAGGAAAGCACTTTGCCATTGGGTCACATCTCAGGCCATTGGGTCACACCCCAGGCCGTTGGGTCACACCCCAGGCCATTGTTGCTTTTTTTTTTTAAATATTCTTTGGAAAGAATTATTAAGGTGCTGGGCAGCAGGGTGTAGTGATGGTCCAAAGAAAAACAAAGGGATGTTTGGATCAGAGCAGGTTCAGAAACAGCGGGGTGGGGGAGGCATCACTGTAGAATTTATGTATCCAGGCAACTTAGGAAGTAGAAAGGCTTCATTTTTACTGTGAATGTATTCAGTGAGACAAACAGAAAATCAAACATTTAACAGAGGAGTAGCCTGGGTTCAGAGAGGGGAAGTGTAGCTCTGGTCATAAGGCTTGGAATGTGCATGATAAGGTAGATATTAACACTGGCTTGCAAGACCCCAAACTGGGATTTTTGGCATAATTCACTGAAACTGGTGCTGTAATGGAGCTCTCTGTGTCATCTCTGGGAGCACCCAATGGCCATGGGCTTCATGTTAAAGGTTCGGGTCCAGCGAACCCTTCAAATATGGTCTTCATTCTCCACTGTGACTTTAACTCTGATCTAGGTTATCCTTCCAGCCTCTTACTGCTCTGTTTGCTGACATCTCTTCCCAAAGATCATCTCTTCTAAATGCCTCTCCCACGTTCGCATCATACCAGGCTTCATTATTGCCCCAGACTGCATGTCATATGGGGCCCACGTAGGACACGACCTTGTCAGGGAAAATGCAATGTAAAGAACTGCTAGACACTAAAGAAGAGGACTCTAAGGAGCTTAAGAACAGAATGCTTTACAGCATAATTTTAGTGTTTATATAAAATAGCATAAAATAGGTTATACAGAAAAGCCTAACGTTTCCTTATTAATATCTGATTTGAATAATTGTGATTCCTCTTTCTTTTGATTGCGTTGTCTACGGGTCTATATCTCATATATTTTAAAACGCCCGGCTCTTATCTTCACTGTTTTTCTCCTACTTTATTCCTTTCTTCTCTAGCTTTTATTATTTCTTCCTGTCTACTGGATTTGGGTTTGGTTTGCTCTTGTTTTGCCAAACTCTTGAGTTGCATCAGTGAGTGGTTTGTTTGTGTTCCTTTTGATTTTTTTTAATGTAGGCCCAGGAAATATAATTTTCTCTCATAGGAAATTTTGGTGTGCTGTGTTTTCATTTTCATTTATTTCAAGAAAATTTATTTGCATCTTGAATTTTTTACCCATTCATCATTCAGTAGTGTGTTGTTTAATTTCTAGGAGTTTATATAATTCTAGAAATTCTTTTGCTGTTGATTTCAAGCTTTATTACTGTGGCCAGATATGATGCATGTAGTTATTTCAAGTTTTCTATATTTGTTGAGTTTTTTTGTGTCCCAGCATGTGACCTGTTTTAGAGAAAGTTCTGTGGGCTCCTGAGCAGACAGTATAGTCTTTGGTGGACTGTACTGTAGACATATGTGAGATCCATTTGCTGTATGATGTCACTCAGTTCCTATGTGTCTCTGTTTGTCTCTTGTCCCGATGACCAGTATGTTGGAGCAAGTAGTGTACTGAAATCACCTACTGTTAACTGACTTAGGGTTAATCTGTGTTTTGAAGTCCAATAGTATGCTTTTAAAGAAATGGGGTGTGTGAGGGTTTGGTGCATACGTGTTTAGGATTATAATATCTTCTTGGTTAATTGTTCCCTTCATCAGAATGAAGTGTTCTTCTTTAGTTCTTTGAATTTATTTTGTCTAAAAGTCTATTTTGTCACATATTAGGGCAGTGACGCTAGTTTCCTGGGTTCCCCAACTACAACCTTTCACTTTAATGTGATACCTAACCTTAAAAGCAAAAGGAGTTCTATAGATAACAGAAATATGGATTTTGTTTCTCATTCTGTTCATCTAACCTTTATCTTTTGATTAGAGGATTAAGGCCATTACTATTCAAAAGTTATTATTGAAAAGTGTGTGCTGATAACTATTATTTGTTGCCTTTTTGCTGTTTGTAGTCTTTTGTTCCCACCCTACAGGAGCCACTGTGGGGTAACAGGTGGTTACTGAGAGTGGGAGAATCAGTTTTCTCCAGGATGAGCCTCTTGATAGGTTACCCTACCCCAAGTGGTCCTTAGAGACATGTACATATGAACAGTACCGCACAGACTCAGTGTATGTATTTATATAAATATCAGTAATAATTATAATAATTATGGAAGACGATGTCATGAACTCAGGAGGAAGGATGTACAAAGAGTCGGAGCAGGGAGAGAAGTAGTGGAACTCATGGGAACATGGTGCTCGTGTGTGAAATTCTAAAGAAAATTAAATAAGAGTAAAAAGAAAAAACATTTCAAGAGTCCCAGGTATTATTAAAAAATAAAAGAACCGGTTAGAAAATGAGCAAAAGGCATTTATAGGTATTTCATACAATAAAATATACAGGTAAAAATTCATATGTGGAAAGATTTTCAACTTCATTAGACATTTGGAACATACAGATTGTACTAACATTGGTCCTCTATCTGAATGTCATAGGAGCTAGAGCAAGGTGGCAGCCGAGTCAAATTCTCTAATGATGATATTGCCACAGACATACCCCCTGTGATAGCTATTCATTTAGAAGAGCTAAGAAGGCCAGGTAAGAGACCACACTACCTGGCTTTCGTAGCATCATAAGGAAGGATGTAGTGAAGAAGTAGGAAGAGAAGAGTTGCTCTCCTTCAACTCCAAGAAGCATGGAGAGAGTAAGGACTTAGACTTCAAATCTACTACCAAGTCTGCCAGGGGGACTCCAATGCCGAGCCGAGTCCCATCAGCCCTGGCCCCAGGCCAGTGTTCATGACTGAGCCTCTGGAACTGTGTTAACTGTCTGAAAGATTGCCTCTGCCATCGCTGTCCCAGTGTTGGGGAGCAGAGAAGAAAGCAAGATTCTCCTGTCTGGGACAGAGCACAAAAGCTGCCACAAGATGCCTCCTCCTTTGGAGAAGACCCATGTCAGGTAGAAACTAAACCCCTTCACAGCCTAGATCTTAGATGGAGCCTCTAGGCATGCTTGAACATCAGGAGGGAGACCAGAGAGTCAGTAGGATTGACTCAAGTTTTGGCTTAGACCATCATCAGCCTGGGGTTGGGCTTGTCCCTGTGGCTCTGAGACCCAAGTACATCAGCCTTGGCAACCAAGAGATTTCTGTAATACCTAATCCCAGACCATGGGCAGCACAGGTATACCTGGCTAGTGCTCACAGATGGAGCCTTTAGAATTTCCTTACATCTGTACCCCGATGGGTACAGCAGCTGTAATGCAGGCCTGGATCCACCCTGGAAGCTTTGCAGGTCATTATGGAAGACTCAGCTATGACTTAGACAGCATCATGGGTGGCAGGGCGATGTAGAAGGTCCGTCTGCGAGTACTGGGACAGAGACAGCTGTACGGCCAGAGGAGAGCCACCAAGGCTGGGTCATAGCTGGGAGTGAGTACATTAGCACTACCCCAGTCTTGGGTAGCAAGATTATGCTGGGGAAGAGAAAGGGGTAATAAGCATAGGACTTTGCCTTGGAGGTCAGTCTTGGGTGTATGAAACATAACTCTGGGAAGAACCTATCAGCTCCTGTCCTCAGGCCTGTCTGAACAGCCCTGGTTTATGGTCTTCTGCCCAGTGCCACCGTGGACAGCTGCAGCAGTCTCCAGCCGTGAGCTAGCAGTAGACAGTCAACAACAATGTGGCTCCAGTTCTTGGCGTCTTCAGCTGCCAAGTGTGACAGCGTTGCAGCTTTG